CACACACACACACACACACACACACACACACACACACACACACACACACACTCACACACTCCCTGGCCAGGCCATGGTGCAGAGGGGATTGAGACAAATGTGGGCAGCGACTGTCCATCTCCACAGAAGTGGTTTCAGTCAGGCCTCCTCATCTTTCACCTAATCACTGCCACAACCTCCTCCTCACTTACACTTTTAAACCCTGCAGTTGTGCCCGGAGCCCACGCAGCGTGCAAATAGACTTCACTTTTGATTGGCAGCAGTTCCCTAGGTGCTCATTTTCTGCAGAGCGTCAGGATGGATTGGTGATGCCTGCCTTGGGTTCCGATTCAGACACACAGTAAATCCCTCTGCTAGAGAGCAAAGCCCAAACTCCCCCCACGCCCAAATAAGGCACTCCACAGTCAGGCACGCCCTGACTCACCCTCCAGCATCTCCAGTACCACCCTACACCTGCTCTGTGTCCAGCAGCACCAACACCTGCCCTTTCCAGAACATTCCATGAGTCTGCCATCCCATAATCTCCATGCCTGCTGGGTGCGGTGGCACCTACTTCTAATCCCAGCTGCTCTGGAGGCTGAGGGAGGAGATGGCAAGTTCCAGGCCAGCCTGAGCAACTCAGCAAGGCCCTGTCTCAAAGAAACTCAAAGGGGTGGGGACGTCTCTCAGGGGTGGGGCGCTTGCCTGGCCTGTGCAAGGGCCCAGGGGTCTATCCCCAGTTCAGCAAAAATCATCATCCTCATCTCCACACCTGGGCTTCTGATGGTGCTGTTCCCTTGGCCTGCGGACACTCTTCTCCTCTCAGGTCCTCTCCCCACGTGTCTACTCCAAGTCCATCTCCAGGTGGAACCCGAAGGCCATCCGGAAGCCTCCCCTGACCGCCCCTCACAGAGCTGGCCAACCTACTCCTCCCTCCGCGGGCTCCCGCCACAGTCAGGAGGAGTTACCGACAGCTGCATGGTATTATGTCATTTACTCTCCGTGTCCCTCCCCGACTCTCCCTTCACCCCACCCTCTGCCAGACACTGCCACGGGTCCACGGCTTGCTCGGGGACAGGCACTGTGCGGAGGCTGCGACATTATTCTCATGAAGGAGCTGCAGAAGTGGACACTGGGGGTTCTGTCCTGGGCACCCAGCATCTATCCTCCCTCCCATCCACCCCCGGTTCCCTCCCTCCCCACTGCCATGGACGGCCATGGTGAGATGGAGTCACGATGCCCATCTCTGCCCGACCTGGGTCAGCGGGACTGTGGGCGGAATGATGTGAGCCCACCCCCAGGGATTTCAATGCCAGATGACACAGGCCGTCCTTCCTGGACCTCTGGGCTACACCTCAGGCCCCCACCCTCACCCCCTCCCTGGGGGGCAGAGGAGCCGCCCCCAGCAGCCCACCAAGAAGTGCCCTGGCCAGACGGGGCTCACAACCAAGGAACCCCACTGGCTGGCCACGCGGCCTTGGGGATGTTTCTCCGGCAGATCTTTCCTTCCTTGGGGCCCCTAGGGCAGGAGGACCAGGAGGACCAGGGGGACCAGAGGAACAGGGGACGCTGGGAGCCGAGCCATGCGGCGGATCAGACAAGATGCGCCCTCCCTACTCAGGTGGAGTGGTTTTGCGCTGGGTCCCCACAGCATTTTGAATTGATGCTAAGAAAAAATAGGTTAAGTGATTCTTTTGGAGAAAGAAATGCGAGCGCGCACGTCCACGCGCACCCAAGAGCACAGAAGGGATCCCACTCCGGTTTAGGATCTAGACCCAAACCTCAAGCTTTCAGCTGGCACCGAGGGCCCTGGAGGAGGAGCAGGGAGGAGAAGAAAGGACCCCGCCGCCCTGCCCACGGGGACCGCCCTGCCCACGGCGGACCGCTCCATCTGGGGGCATTTTGTCTTCCACACGCTGTGGCAGGGCTGTCAGCAAGACGATGAGAGTGGCTATGAGGGGGATGGGAAGGGGAGCCCCCCAGGGGGCCTGCTTGGGAAGAGATTCTGGAGAACGTCCCTTCCTACAGGGACCCGCGGCATTTGGCAGGGCAGTAAGCCCCTCCCTCACTTCCGCCCCCTGCCCCCTGCCCATCCTCATCGCCACACCTGGGCTTCTGGTGGTGCTGTCCCCTCGGCCTGCGGACATTCTTCTCCTCTCAGGTCCTTCAGAACAGTGTGCGGGTGACCACATTAGTCCCGTTGTTGGGTAAGGAGCCACCTCAAACCTCGGTGGCTTGAATCAGCAAAAAATAACTAAATAAAAGAGAAGCTTACTATTTCAGTCTCTGTGGCCTGGGATTGTGGGGCGGGGGTGGCTCCGACTTGAGGGGCTTGTGAGTTTGCCATCGAGAAGTCTGGCCGGGCCCCGACGCCACCCCAGGACTGGTCGCGGCTGAGGGTGTGCCCAGCACGGCTGCCCCAAGGGGCCGGCAAGCGGGGCTGGCTCTTGGTTGGGGGCCTCAGTTGCTTGTCACATTGGACGGCTCCACAGGACTGCCTGGGTGGCCTCAGGACTGGCAGCTGCCGCCCAAGACAGGGGCCACCGTGTCTTTTACAAGTCACCCACTATCACGTCTACAGTGTCCTGTTGTCACACGGGTCCCCCTGCTCACGGTGGGAAGGCCCCACAGGGGATGTGGACCTCAGGAGCCAGGGCCGTCTGGAGGCCAGGAGGTTTGAGATGGGTCGCTGGTCACCTAGTCCTGCAGGCAGATGGGCCAAGGGAGGGCAGCAGTGAGGTGGGGCCGGAGCAGGACCCTGGGGTTCCCGCGTCTGTGTTCTCCGTAGCCCACGAGGCCAGGGAAGTGCCAGACTAATGGGGACAAAGGTGCACGCAGAGATCCTCATGAGGCTGGACAGGAGAAAAGGGTGCCCAGCCATGGGGCCCAGTGTCCCTGTGAGGCCTGCGCCACACTCTGGGGGTAGTATCCAGGTGGATGCCCTCGGACCCAAAGGTCCCACAGTGGAAGGGGACCCACAAGATCCCACTGGGGTGCTGGCGGCTCCCTGCCTACCTGGCCCAGGGCTGAGGTTACTGGGCGGTCAGGTTTGCTAGGCCACCACCCTGCCAATCGGGGTAAAGCAGCCCAGGAACGTGCCCCAGGACATCAGGGGGACTCCTGTCCCCCTGCTGATCCATCTGGTACCTCCACTAAGACCTGAGCAATCCTGTGTCTGACCCAGGTCTGTGCCCTGGGTGCCCCGCCCCCCACCAGGCCACAAACAGGGTCAGACGGTGGGTGTCCCCACCCCACCCCAGCAGGTCCAACAGAGGTGGGGTCTGCAGGGCATGGACAGCCCCGCGGCGGACCACCTCCCCGGCCCTCGGACCCAGCGGTCCCGAGACACCCCAGGAGGCGCTGGATCGGGTGGAGGGGGCGGGGCTCTCCGCAGCGACCTGACCAGCTGCCCAGCAGACAGGGCCTCCGAGCCCTGCACCGTTGGGCGTCTGCCATTTGGGCATCTGCCATTTGGGCCCGGGCACCCTTGTGCAGAGTTCCAAAATCCCTCCATCCTGGGATCCTGCTGCCACAGCAGGGATGGCGAGGTGAGCCTGGCAGCCGGTTATTAAACCCTCTATCTGGCTCTGCCTGGGGACGCGGGGATGGTACTCGCCGGCTTCTGCGCCCTGGGCTGGAACTGGGTCAGCCGGAGGCCCCTGGGAGCTGGAGGTCAGCGACCAGGCTTGTCACCGCCGACCTGCTGCGGGCTCCGAGGCTCCGGAGGCTGCAGACTGGAAAGGCGCTGACTGGCTGGTTTCTTCATCTTCTTTCCAGCCTCTGAGTCCACAGGGTGAAGCGCCGCCCCTCCGCCTGGCATCTGGAGTTGTCTGCAATCTGGCCCCAGTCTACCTAGAGTCACAATAATAGCTCAAAATGGGGCATTTACTCTCTTTCAGGCTCAACGCCAAGTGCTCCACATGAATTAGTCTCAGGGAACAATGACAACCATCCTACGAGGCACTGATCCTTTGTTCCCATTTTATTGATGAGGCTCAGAGTTGCTAAGCAATTTGACCAAGATCACACAGCAAGGAAAGAGCAAAGGTTCACCCACGGGGCTCTCCGTGTTTTAGGTGAGTCTCCTTCTCTTTTTTAATTTTTTTTTTTAGTTGTTGATAGACTTTTGTTTTATTTATTTTTATGTGGTGAGAATCGAACCCAGTGCCTCACACATGCCAGGTAAGTGTGCTACCACTGAGCCCCAGCCCCAGCCCGTGAGTCTCATTGTGAAGCCACCATGGCCTGTCACTTCCCGGAAGGGTTCTCTCTGTCTAGAATCTGCATGTCTGAAGGTGGCTCTAGGCAGGGGACCCAGCTCCTGGTGAAGGAGGGTGGATGGCTGTTACCAAGTTACTCAGGCCTCAAACCCCAATGTCCCTGGAGGCCAACTGGGCTACCACCAATCTGGTCCCTCAGGACCTCCTGTCATCTCTGCCCCTAACCAGGTCTCGCCCCACCCAGGGCCAGGTGAGTCCTGCGGCAGGGTGCAGGAGTCCCCTTACCTCTCCCTCAGGTACAGTGGCTGCAGTGTCCTTCCTTCGCCCTCTGGATGCCCTGGGGGCATCTGTCCCTTTCTGGCCCACAGCCCAGACCTGAGATGAAAGAGCAACCCCCACCCTCACACCCTGGCCCCTTGGGTTGTGCTGAGCTTCAACCCCAGCTTCCCTGAAGCCTCCCCGTCTCCCCACATGGTCTGCTTCCTGCCTGCCCTCACCCTCAGACCCGCCCAAGCAGACCCCAGGGGTGCCGACTCCCCAGCGACACCTGGAGGCACCAGAGTTGCCAATTTTCTGCCAATGGCCAAGTTCCCCACGCTTTCCCCAGAGCCCAGCCCTGTCCCTGTTGGGAACTCAGCCCCCAACACCCGGAGGAGGAAGCCTGGAGATGGGGACTCAAATTAGACCCTGCCAGTGGCCGGGGGAAGGCCAGGGAAAGGGTAAAGTTTCTAAGCTGCAAAGCCTGAGTTGAAATGTAGAGGACGAGGTATTGTAAAGTTTCTGAACTGCACACAGAACCTGAAATTCCTGAGGCAGTTAAGACAATGCCCACTGACCATTTAGTGGATTAATAGCCTAGGACCCTGTGCAGCTTGGCACTTTCAGGGCCCGAACCAATCGGTTTGAATGTCACCCCCTCCTGAGGAATGACCTATCACTCCAGCCCGACCTGTTCCCGCCAATGAATGTACTAATCATGTTTAAGAATTGTTGTTTGATTATCCCGCGGTGTATGGTGATTTGTTAAAGGAGACTGTGATGTATGCAAAGCCCCCGCCCTCCCCAAAAAGTGTACTTAAGCACTGCTCAACCCCTGCTCTGGGCTCTGGGCTGCTCTCCCTTCTTGAGTGAGCACGGAGCCCCAGCGCGCTGGATCAATAAATCCCCGATTCTGCGGATTGCATGAGTCAGTCTCTTGGTGGTCTCTTCCTCCGACGTTGGCCAGACCCTTACAGCCCGGAGGGGGACAAGACCAGGGTCAGTGTCACAGCCAAGCGGGCTGGAGCTCAGAACAGCCCTGCACTCCTAGGAGAGGATCACACTGTCCCTCACCATTCCCAGGGTGCCAGGTTATGTCATGGGGTGCCCATCCTCAAACACCATCGAGTTACCACTTGGGACTCACTGGGCGTGACAGAAACCCAAGGGCGGCCCGGGTTGACCTGGCTGAATCCCACAAAGGAGCCTGGGGAAGGCTGGGGAGGGGGAGGGGCCACCAGCATCCCTCTCACTCCCGGTGGCAATGGAACCGGAGCACCCCCCCCCCAGGGTTCCGGGCACAGGCTCAGGATCACAGTGGGGCGAGCTGTCCCGCCTCTCCACCCCACTGCGCCAGCGGGGACTCTGATTGGGCCGGCCTGAGTCACATGCTCATCCTCTGGCCCAATCACTGCAGCCAGGGTAATGAGGGTAGATTGGGGGTGGGGCCTGGGCCAGGAGCCCCACCCCGGTAACCAGGGGGACAGATGAGCAGGAAAGCTGGGGCCTGGCCCTTGGACTGGAAAGAGAGGAGGGAGGGCAGGCGGGACCAGGCCAGAGCAATCCAGAAAGGCTCCCTGGAGGAGGGGGACACAACTCCAGTGACCCTCAGGAGAGCAGCTGGCTGTGAGGGCTGTCCCAGGAGACAGGAGGGTGGAGTCCCACAGCCTGGGTTCAAATCCTCGTGCCCCTGCTTCCTGACTGGGTGGTGGGGACAGGGGACAGCTTCCCACACTCCTCTGGGCTTCCCTCCTCCCCCTTTGCCTGGCCCTGCTCGCTGCCCGAAGCGCTCCGTCCTGAGCCAGCGGCTGACCCCAGCCTGGACCAGCTCCAGGCCCAGTGAAGCCCCTCCCTCCAAAAGCACTGAGAAGCTCAAGAGCATTAAGTCAGGAGCGGGGTCCCCTTCCAGGTGAAGGTCCCCAGCCACCACCTGGGTCACAAACCCTACAGCTCGCCCTGGCCCAGCCTCGGTGACCACCTGCCCCGTGTTCTGGCTGCTAATGTCCCCTTCAGCTGCTGGCCCCCACCACCCCCTGCCCCTGCTGCGTGGCCACCGTGGGCAGGAGTGGTGGCTCCCACGTGGCTTCCCTCGGCTCACCCTGGCTGGCAGGTGGCCTGAGGTGGGCTCCAAGGTACCACCTACAGTTAGACTTCAGGTCCTTTGTTTTTTTGGCTGAAATAATATCTTTTCCCAGGAAGCTCCTGAGCACCGTGTCCCAGGATGCCAGGAACCAGGGGTCCGCGTCCCCCGCAGGCTCCCACAGTCCCCGGGGCCCCCAGGCAGCTGATGGGCTTACACTTGGGGGGATGGAGGCTACGATTTTATCCACTGACATTTTGCAAATTTAAAACGGGGCTGAGCTGTGAGCTTGGCTCAGCCCCTGAAGGGCTCCTGTCCAAAAGAGGCCCCAGAGCTGGGCTTCCCTGGCCAGGGACACCGGGCCTGGCTGCCCCTCTCACCTGCACCTCCCTCCCCTCCTTCCCCCACTGTGCTCAGGCGGGCATCAGGACCCACGGCCCCTCCCCTGCTCGGCCCGAGGACGGGCGCCTGCGGCCAGGCCTCTCTGATGATCGCAGCCTGGACGAGGCGGGACGTCCAAGAAGGCTCAGCCACAAAGCTGGCACTGGGTTGGTGCCCACTGTCAACTGGCAGGTGCCCTGGAGCCGGTGACTGAGGGCCTCCCTCTGGCATGGCAGGAACAGGGGAGTTGGGCTTTGCAGGCAGACAAGTCCCACGAGAGCCAGACAGAAGCCATAGGCACCTGGAGACCAGGACGTATCACTTCCGCTGCTTTCTGTTGGTG